TGATTGAAAGTCTGTTATTTCATGTTGCCTTTCATAGTCTGACACAGGATCTTTTCTTGCACCAGTGTAGTTAGTGCTTGCATAACCCAACTGGGGCATGGCCACTGCCAACCCAGATGTGCCAATGGTATTTCCTCCTTTACTCCTCTTTGTCCACAGAATCTCAGGAAACTGCCACACAGCCATGACTTAGCAGATGTGGCCTTGCAGCATACTTTGGCTTGAATCTCTGCTCTGACTCTTGATCACACTAAACCTCTCTTCTCCCTAGTGGCAGACAGAGGTTTGTACTCAAAGTTTTCCTTGCCAGCACCATTCCCAAACACAGACCCCTCCGAGGTGGCACGTAGATGGATACAGTGTGCCAAGGGTTTGCAGACTTCTCCACCAGGTTGAGGGATGCACCACTCTTGCTGCTCCCCCAGCTCACAGGGACAGAGTGTCCTGTGAGCACCACACAGCAGTGCTTAAAGCCACGTGCATCCCCTGCCTCCCCCTGCCAAAATGGAAACCTCATGGCCTAAGCTCACCTCATGCAAACTGGAAACATTCTTGTTTGCTTTTATACACAGACATGATCTTGCCTGACATTGCTTTTACCTGTAAGAAAATTTCTCCCTCTTACTATTTTCTTCTTATGGACTGTTTTCCTGGGCTAAACATCCTCTGCTTTAAAAAGATGGGGTGACCCAAATAATATTGTGAATGATTATTCAAGGGTGAAGAACAGACTCTAGTACAAAGATATTTACAAGACAACTTATATCTACAATCTTTCTGATTATTAGTTTCTAGAAAACCCGTTTGCTACATCATCGCTATTACATCCACCATTTGGCTCAGTTTTGCTACATTTGTTCATTTGGTACATTACTGAACATCTGAAGCATTTACTTTGTTTTGTCTGGACTGCAGTAATTTCTTTTGGAACAAAATGTAGCTTAGGAATCCACTGCTGTGGATTTTTATAACGAATATTTTACAGTAAGACACTTGTTACTAATGTGTCTAATTTTACTCCTACAACTCTTTTTATAATCTTTGTTCTTAAAAAAAATAAGTGGGAAAATTTATGATAGTAATTGAATTGTTTATTAACTGATGGCCTACTTGCAATTTTAAAATGAACAAGGCATAGCAATTTGGGCAATTTTTCAGCTTTGGATAGGAAAAAAAGCTGCAAACATGAAAGCTAACATTTTTCACAGCACACCTCTGAATATTGTTTTTTATTAGAGACTACCTACTGTAGTGGAGCAATGACATCCACAAAAAAATATAACGAAACCCTGAAATCTAAATCTAATTTGAAGTCTAAATGTTGCACATGATTAAAAATGCATTATCTATTCCCAGCAAATCAACATCATTGAAACACTAATATTTCCCTAATTTTAAGCACCATCTAGTGAGTCAAACATTAGATCTGATCTTCCAAATTATGGCCAAGGAAAATAAGATCATGGTTTGACTGCATCCCACCTAGTGCTAAGTCTCTTGCTGAGATTCATAAGTTATCTGTTTAGTCACTGTCTGCTCTCTTACTAATGAACATTAAATATTCCTCCAAAGGTGCTGAAGACCCAAGCTGCTGCCTGAAGAAAATTTGTCTGTTGACAAAGGAGGGTGCCAGCTGGGCAAGCTCCCTAGTTAGACAAGGCTAACTGCCTAAAAGTGGAGCAGGGAGAAACCTTATTTTGATAATGATAATCTTGTTTTGTCACTCTAGAGCGAGGGACTGGAAAGGATGTGACATTATTTCAATTATGAGCAAAACAAAAAAAATCTCCAGGCAAATATACAGCTTTATAAGGATCATGACTCTTACTACTTCTATTTGCTGGCTTGCCATGAAGATGAAGTAGTCCTGAGAGGGAATAGCACAACAGATCTGCATATAATTATAGGACCTCGTTATCTGGCAGTGGTATTAAATCAGTTCAGTTAAAACAGCACCAGGTCCTGTGGCAACCCACTGTAATCAGTTGGCAACTGACCTGTATAAACAGCAGCCCATGTACAGAATTCATTTGGAAAGCTAGTGATGCACAAGTGGTTTGGTTAACGCAGCATCACTATGGGCAGAGCAGGGACATTCTGACTGAGCCTCATTTGGCCTCTCTAAGTCACAGAGCTTGCAGTTGGTGCTGTGCTGGTACTTTACATGTGCCAACAAAACTGGGGCAAGGCTGGGCAGTGTCCAGCCTGGCTTTGCTGAGAGAGAGGAAAGGTCACATTGCCTTTGCCTGGGGGTGCATCCCTTGGTGGGGAGGAAGTTTTGGCTGCTGCTAGCCATACCCTCAGTTGGCCACACTGTATGTCTGACCTCTTTCTGGTATATCTGGGTACAGTAGGATTTAATTATGTGTTCTCAGTATGGTATACCAGCACACACCCTTTAGCAGTACTGGGTAGCTGTTAGCCATGGCTCAACAGCAGAAGATCAGTCCAGTCTCTGTGCAATATACCACAAGGGTTTCTCACAGTGGTGGGTCCCCAGCCACCTGCCCAGCCAGGGGCTCACCTCTGCTGCTGTGAGGGTCGGGACACTATGTCTGCTTGGGAGGTCAGACAGTGAAAGAGGCTGAGGAGCTGACCTGTGCCACAGAGACCTTTCTGCTGTTCTATTTTTTGGTTTCCTGCATTCCTCTCCATGCATCACTTCCTGGCTGTGTCACCTCCTAACCCCTCACCTCAGAGCAATCGTGGCAGCACAGGCTAAGGGCTCATGGAGGACAAGGACTGTTGGTGACGAGGAGGTGGTGCCAGGAGGAGTATATGCCAGAACTGCTGCAGAAACGCTCCTCAAACTGAACCCTGCGCTGCTGACACAACCCTATGCTCCCCTGTGCTCAGTCCTCAGAATCCCAGGGAAATTGCCATGGTGCAGTGCCCACCTGCTAGTGGGAGGTTTATCTGCATCTCGTGTTATTGAAATCTGGCACCTTATGGGGTGACACTGGGGAAAGCAGTATCTGTAGGAGTGGGAGCATTTAAAGCCTGGTCCCTCATCTCCTGGATGCATGACTGCTGAGGGATGACAGAGGTACCTGGTCTCTATCTCCAAAACAGGAAAAGCATCCAAACAGAAGCTTAGGCTCATCTGCACAGCTTTGCTAGCACCTGAAATACCTTAGAGTTATCACAACTTGGACATAGGCAAAGCCACTGGGAAAATGAAATAAGTATCCCTTTTCTCCTTTATCCCTACTCCCGATACATGTCATTTTGCTAGCAAAGGAGAAGATTTTTTAGCCAGATCCTGATTTATGGTCTATAATGTCATGATAGAAAGTAGATTCAAGCAGCAAATCAATTTTCAGAGCTATACAGCAATGAAGAACGATGATTTTTGAGTCCTTCCCCACAAACAGAGCAGAGCAGGTGTGGGTATCAGTCTGCTTAGCAAGACAGTGTAAGCTCTTTGGAACAGTCACACAGCATGCATGGTCCAGTCAGCTCCCAAACACCCCTCAGTTACAAGGGTGAGCCAAAATTTGATGACATCACATAAATAAATATTATATAAATATAAGCAAATGCAAAAAAAAATGCTTTACCTCAGGCTTGAGCAAAAGGTGAAATTTTTCAGTCCTGTGAGATCCTCCTCTGCCCCCAAGTCTGCTGGCTCATGATGCAGCAAAATGATCTGGCATTTATCAACCCTGTCAGGGTCTGCAAGTCCTGAGGGTGTTTGATTTGGAAAGAAAGGTGTCAGGAGGACATTCCTGAACACCTCCATCCAGACTTATGCAGGGGAAAAAAATAAAAAAATAAAAGGAAGCTTTAAGAGGTCAGAATGTGTAGCCTGCCCAGAGCTGCTATTCCTGGTAGAAATTAGACCCTGAAGTGTCCAGGTGAAAATCAGGGATAATCCTCGTATACGTGCTTCTAATTGGGACAAACTGAAAGTGAGAAAGCTGAGCGAGACATCTCCAGTCCATCCCTGGGGGTCCAGATTTGTTCCCAGCTGGTAATGAGAGCACTATTATGCAAAGCCTCCTCTATAAACAGATTTTGGTTTATTATGGCTGAACTGCTGGAATCTATTTTTGTCACCACTTTGTGCGAATGTGTTACCCTTGTGATTTCCAGCCAGGTCATTCCAAGTCAGCTGCTTTGGCTGTGGCTGTCAGTGGAAGCTCCTCCGTCCGCCCGGTCCCTGGCCCCATTTCTCACCCACCCAGGGTTGGCTCTCGGGCAAGGGGGACGAGGGGATGAGCCTGCGGCTATTCTGGTAGCTGTGAGCTATGGAGGTGTCACGTGAAGTAAGGAGCCCAGAAATGCATGTCAAAACGAACCAGTGACTAATCACGGTATTTTGGTTGTCTTAGTGCCTGCCGGGGAAAGATTTACGGGCTCAGAAAATCTTCCCGTAATAATCCTGGGCGCTGATTTGATCTTCAGCTGAGGCTTCCCAAGAGAGTGCGAAAAGAGGACGAAAAGGAGGCTGCTGTCCCAGGGGCAGAGAGGTCTAAACTGATTGGAGTTTGAAATAAAAACAAGAGGAGAAAAGCCGGCACTCCCTTCTCATCTGTGTCTGCTCAGAGCCACGCGCTGGCAGCCAGAGAAGATCTATTTGATTTGCCTGTGGAGCAAGAAGGGTCGGGGGCGACGGCTGAGCAAATACGAAGTGCCATTTATTGTGATTGTCATCTAGCTCCCTCATCTGTCACCTGATGGCCAGCCAAGCAAGTACTCAGCACAACTGTGGACTCTTCATCCTTGCACGAGTTATGGAGGCGAGAAAAGTAAGCATCCTACAGCTGTTATGACATTCAGCTGTTTTTTCTATAAAGGAATGCATTGAATTCACTACAAATCTACTAACTGTCCCCCTATGACAGGCAAGAGGCTGACTTTTTTTTGGTTGGGCTTTTCTCTAACAGCTGGAGGTCTGCTGGGTATTCAAGCAATGGCTGTTGAGTAAGGCAGCTGTTTCAATATCTAATTGCATTTTAGTGCTAATAACTCTAGGGGAAAGCATTGCATTGTCTACCATGAGCTACTTCCTGTCCTACTGCAAAGCACACTGCACCGCTGTGCTCTCCCAGTACCAGAGCCTGAGATCAGAAGGCTTTCTGTGTGATATTTTGCTGAAAGTGAAAGAAAATGAGTTTCCTGCACACAAGTCCTTGTTGGCATGTTCCAGCGACTATTTCCGAGCCATGTTCAAAAGTTACACCCAAGAGTCTAAAGCCAATGTCATTCACCTACAAGTTGTCTCACCCACTGGTCTCCAGCACATCCTGGATTTCATTTACACATCTTTACTGCCCCTTTCCTTTGAAAGCCTGGAGGACACCTTGGAAGCTGCAAGCTACTTGCAAGTGAGTGATGCTATTGGCTTGTGCAATCAGTACTTAATTAACAATCTTGCCTTGGAAACCTGCTGCTTCTCTGCCAATGTGGCCAGGAAGTTCTACCTGCCAGATGCCTTAGCAGCAACAGAAAAATACATTGTCAATAATGTCTGGAAGCTGCTGGACTTGGATTTGTCAGGACTTCTTGAGCTGAACTTCAGGTCTTTGCTAGCAGTGATTCAATCACCAGATCTCCCCATGGTGAAAGAAAGTCGTCTGTTGAATCTTGTGCTACTGTGGCTGAAGCAGGATAAATCCAGGCTGGATCATGCAAGCAGCCTTTTAGAGCACATAAGATATGGTCTCATCCCAGTGGAAGAGCTGAGAAAAACCTACACACAGTCAGAAGTGTCCCTCTCAGCAGGTATTAAGTGCATGATCATTAAAGCAATAAACTATCATACATCTGTATTCAAACAGCCTGTCCTGCAGGATAAGTCCACCACGTTGAGGAACCAGAAAACTCGAGTCATTCTGCTGGGGGGAGGGACAGCAAGTGAGGGGCTTGTCACAGATGTGGTGGCCTTCGATGTTTACAATCACAAATGGCGAACTCTGACGCAGGTGCAGGACAGGGTGCAGAACCACAGTGTGTGCGTGGTGGGGAACTTCCTCTACGTCTTGGGTGGGGAAGTAGAAAGTGGTACCCTGGGTGATGCTAAAACCGAAAAGATCTTATCAGTTACGAACAAGGTCTATCGTTATGATCCAAGATTTAACACATGGACCCAAATCACGGGCATGTTGGAAAAGAGATGCCAGTTTGCTTGCTGTGTCCTAGGCAAGGATATCTTTGCCATTGGTGGAAGGGGTGAGGACGGGTTGCTGCATTCATCTGTGGAAACGTACAACATCAGCAGGGACAGATGGACGAAGGCCAGGGAATTGCCATGCAAGATACACGGCCATGCCAGTGCTGTTTGCAAGAACACTATATACATCTCTGGTGGCAAGTACTCGGCCCCAGCCAGCACAAGCAATGATGTATATTCTCTGAACTCACTTGAAGGGCAGTGGATGAAAAAAGCCCCCATGAGCATTGCTCGGTTTGGGCATCAGATGGCAACAATCAGGGACTCCATATTCACCTTTTTAGGATTATATGAACCATTCTCTGAAATAGAAAGGTATGACCCTGATCAAAACCAATGGACCCGGTTAAGACCACTGGTCTATGATCGATTTTCCTATGGCCTGGCAGTGGTAGAGGAAACTGCTCTTCTTATTGGTGGAAAGAAATGGCAAAACTCACTGGAAGTCTCCACACAAGACGTGGTTGGTTACGACATCGACAACGATGGCTGGGAAGAGATCTGCAAAGCCCCTTTGCCTTGGTGTGGGCTGCAGTGTGCCGTGCTCCAGCTCTCTGAGATGGCCGACGAGCAGGACAGTGACAGCCAGCAGAAGAAACTGCCCAACTGCTGAGCTCACACGCTGAGGTACATCCATCCCAGGAGACGAGCAAACAGGGTGGTCCTGGAGAAGAAGAAAATTGCAGTGGCACTGAACATGAGAGAGTGGAAGGTTTGCTTGGATAAGCCAAATGCTTGGCGGAAACAGGCAACAAAAATCTGGCTCCAGCACAGGAACCACTGGTAGGATTTATAGAACTGGAAGCTGATCTCACTGAGCAAGGACGCAGCAAGTAGCACATTTACAGGCTATAAGTGAGAATCATAATCCTTGACTGTCTAAGAGTAATACCCAGAGAGCAATTAATAGGTGCTGCAAGTCAGATTTTTCAAATATTAAAAATTATAATCTATCTTTTCTGTTTTCCTAATCAGAGGTAATTTTCCCAGCTGGTAAGTGCTATTGAGTTTTTATGCTATGGCTGAGCAAAATGAAAGCAAGCTGGATAAAGGCTAGAAAATTGATGCCTACAAGAATTGGTAGCAAGTACTGCCAAGGAAAAGGTATTATTTGATATGCTACATACTAGGCAAGAATGTCTTAGCTAACCAGCATGAAATTACTGGACAGAAAGCATGGATTTTTCACTATGTAGACTCAGTTACAGCCATAAGTTAAAACAGTATTTGGTAGAAGCCATTTCTTTCTCAGCAGCCTTTGTTGTAGAATGCCTTCCGGATGCTTATTGTAAAGATGCACACTACCAGTACTGTACATTTATTTTGTATCCAAACCTTGTGTTGGTTTAGACTGCCAGAGCTGAATGGTTATACTTATTATTAGACTCCAAGAAACTTGTTACAGGAGTTGCTGTATCTAATGACTTGACACTTACTTGGTAGCATATGCTGTTTTATCACACCTGATCATAAAAGTAAAATTGTTCATAGCTGTTGAACCGGTACATGAGAGAATCCTGCAGTCAAAAAAGGTTTACTTTCATCAAACAGTACAAAGGCGATGGACGTAACTGAAGGTTTTCAGAAGTCTTTATTCAGTGTCTGCCTACATATGAATCAGCAGTTGTCTTACTCCTTTTTGGCCGCTCTGGCAGAGTCCGAAGTCACAGATTACAAGGGGACATGGGTCTGTGAAATGCAGGTAAAATGGCCAGAAACCACAGAATCACTTTGGTATGGATTAAATTGAATCTTGAATCATAAATGTTCATTTAAAACCTAAATTTATTGTACTTCATTTTACAGTGTTCCCTTTCTAGGCTGAGAGTCAATACAATAAAAATATATATAGAAGAACATTTAATAGTCTTAAAAGAAGGCAGCACAATGGAGAGGACACATGTTCTTTGTCACTAGACTAGCTTAAAAAACTGTAATGTTTAATTTTCACCTTTAAAGCAATCAAGCTAACTTTACTAATGTAAAGTGCAGGCAGAATGGCTGTTGCATAGCAACAGATCTAAGTCTTCTGAACTGCCTTGGTTTTGACAAGGAATCAACTACACAATGTGCATATACATCCATCAGCTATAAAGAGGTTTTTATATGAATATATTTACTTTTGGTCCAGTAAAACAATAGCAAGAGAATCTAAATGCTTGGAACAATAGCACAATCAATTTCAAGTCAAGCATTTTTTAAGAGAAATTTACAAAAACCTCACAAATTTAATATACAAGTCAGTACCCATGCAGTAAATAAATGTCCAGTTTATACAAACAATATTCTTCTAATGGTACAAATCTTACACTGAATCCAGAATTCTATACAAACATTAATACATGATTTGTCATCCATATCAACTTGAATATAGGATTACTGAAAATGGGCTACAGAAAGGCCACTCTTCTGTACAGTTGTGCAAAATCTGCAGAACATTTGCAATCCAAATGCAGTAACAAGATAGAAGAAAAGAAAGGGAGAGAAAGAAGAAAAAAGAAAAAGGGAAAGGGAAGAAATAGAAAAAAGCGGAGAACGAGGAATAAAATAAAGAAAGAGAGAACAAATCAGTCCATTCTTTTCTTCATCCCTTCATGGATGTAACTACCAGGAAATATCAGAGCTCATAAAGTTTAAAGTACATTCACTGAGCTGTACAGGCAATAGTCTAAAGTTGGTTAAGAGTACAACTCCCTGTAAAAAGTATAAAGGAGGCTTTTCCTTTTCACATGAGTGTTATTAAATCATGTCATGAGTCCTAACTTATGCAGCAAAATACTGAAGAGCAGCAGAAATATTTTGTCATGCTCTGATCACTCTTCAAAAACAAGCCCATTAAAAGTAAGTATGTGATTTAAGACTTCCCTGCCATTTTTATTCCAGGTGTGTGCCTAACTTCGAGGAGCTATTTCCACTCATATTCACTGGGTTGTCTCCAGCATATCTCAAATCTCATGGAAGTTCAAAACATTTTAACTGGCTTGTGAACTCAGTAGAACCCATAGACTTCCCTTCCCCTTTAAAAGCAAACCAGAGGCTTTTTTACTCCTTGGTTATTTTTCAGGTTCTGTGCTCAGCTCTGCTCCCATCACACATTTTCCCTGCATACAATACAGCAAAATTTCACAGCTCAGCAAACACATAGGAGACTACTTGAAAAATCCTATTCACTCCTTTTCTATTGTGGGAATCTTCAAAGCATCTCAGATTTGGAGCATTTCGCTGGGAACCTTTTCCACTGCTGCTTTTCCAGGCAAAAGAAATTCTGCTACCAAGGATGTTCAAGGTCTACATTTTCTCTTTTGCAAATTCTGCACATTATACTGATACCTTCAGTGCAAAAGCATCATAAATCACAGTACCATGACTATTTTTTACAAAAAATTAACCTAATGTGATTAAGAGACAACACAAAATTTGGTCTTAATTATAACACAAACCAGCATCCCTTTGGACTGATGGTAAACCTTACCAACAGGCTTTAAAACAAGGAAATAAGATCTAACCTTTTGGTCCTTAGATTCACATTAGTAATTTTTCTGTCTGCTGATTTTCACCCTTTTGTGTGTTTGACAAAACTTTATCATAATCATTGCATTACACCTTTTTTTCCCTGCTATTTTACAAAACTCCTAGAGTTTCTCATTAAATATAAAAATTGTTTTTCTCCCACCACCAAAATAGTACCTGCACTCCAAAAATGCAATGCAATACTGGAATTATATAATATAAAATATCACTGTAAAAGTGATCTTCAATAACAAAAGCTTTAGCATGTGGAACCTCCTGCATGAAGGCCACAGTCTTCCAAAAATGCTTTTAAATCCTTTCCTTTAATAGCTAAAGATCAATGTTTGATATTTCACAGAAGGTAAACACAAGCAGAGCGTTGGTAGCATATAAAATATACAAATCCTCATTAAAGAAGTGGTATTGTTGACCATTGAAGGTTTACTTCACACAGCTAAGTAACATTAAAATATAATTTACTAGAGCTCCCACGTATTGATATAAAAACTACTTTATGCACTTAAGTAAAGGGCTTAAGTGTAGGAAATGGACAAAAAGAGAGACCTTTATACATGTGTTTCTATGTAAGAGTGAGTGTGTGCTAAGGAGGCTATAAGTGCATCAACCTCAGATGAGCCATTAACAGAGTCCCTCGGGGTGCTGCTTTGATAGATGTCCATGAAGAGATCAAGATACATTTGTTTCCATTCTTGAAAGTCTCTAGATGTCAAAGCTGGATTATCCAGAACTTTATCTATAATGGCTACTTCTCCTTCCCTGGCCTGGGAGAGAAAAGGAAGAAGCAAAGAGTCAATGCGAGTGATGAGTCACTGACAAAATCAATCACGTGGGTCAAAGGAGGGAATGGGGGGTGCAAACTCAAGCCACAGAGCCCCTAAAAGCATGGGAACTATCTGCTATATATAATCACTCACAAACAGAAGCCCTTTGCATGGGGTGTCACCCTGTGGGGCTAGGGTTTCCCCTTGCCTTGTCCAGCACCCTCGGAAACATTCCCTAGTCTCCTTCCTCACCCCTTGCTGAGCCCAAGAAAAAGCAAGCCCTGCACTGTTTACTATTAGCTGCTTGCATTTCTCAATATGTGTTTCACACAACAAAGTGCCATCTGTTTGTTCTCGATCAGCATCAGAAACACTGTGTGGGTGCGTGGGATGCAGACACAGCCTCCCGCCTGCCCACACAGCCAAGCCTTTTTGTAAGGCTTGTCATGGGGGCAGCTGAGCACTATACTGCAAAAGCTTCTGCAAGGAGTCCCATGTTAACAAAAACTTATCTTCCCTAAGGATCTCGTGTATGTGATGGGCTGGCTGGCTGCAACCTCCTCCTACCACTGCAGTGGCAAAGAGAAGGCAGAAAAAGGTAAAATACAACAGTTGCTGGTCCCTCCTGGTGTCATAAACACTCTCTGGTGATTAGTTTATAGAGTAGCTGACAGGCAGCTGGCACAGATCAGAGTAAGCATTAGATACACCTGTAGCCACCCGTGGTTGTTGCAAGTGGTGGAAGCTGGATGCTGCAGACATAAGCCTTGGAAACACAGTTTACACATGGGTTTCCAGCACTACTCTTCTGCACAGTAATGGTATGCTCACCAGCAATCTCTCAGCTATCCTCTCTGCCAGACAGGTTTCACACTCTTCACTGCTAACTCACATTTTCCATGTCCATACTATGAGTATGTTAAATCTTTCTGGGGAGAATGGTAGGGGGAAATATTAAGCTGTGTCAGCCCACATTGATGGGACACATCAGAAGGGTTAGAGATGTCACCCATAAGAAGTAGGTTGAAAAGTATTTTCCATATTTTGCAAACAGCAACTAATTAATACTACTGCTAGAATACTCATTTTCAGAAATGGAGGAGCAAGCTGAGAATGAACAGTGGAAATGAAACCTTGGGAACTCCCAATTACCATATCTCTGCCTGAACTACCATAACCTGCTAGCAGATTGTGGCTGGTCCCACACCTCTGCACTACCAGCCAGCCAGCTCGTACTCAGTGGCAGGAGAATGGTTTGTCTTATTACAGGAAAGAGAGCAGTGGGGTCTTTCATTGAGGACTTGAAAGATGAGACAACAAG